TGCTACTACCACATAGGTTTGACAATATGCAATGGATTCCTATTTATATATGACAGTTTTCAATGCCTGAAGACAGTCGATGATATATTAATTCATTCCCTGTCAAAACATACCATCGTCCATTTAATAATTTGATAAACAGCACTGGTGGGAAACTTAGCAACCCAATATTTTTTTTCTGTTCTCATGTTTAAGGTTTCTACATTAGAATTTATTAATTTACCTTTATTTCTTCTCGGGTTTACGGGTTTTACTAGTATTTTCCCATGTTTATAGGTTTTAGCAACATTCTTTCCTAAAAAAGACTTCTTGTTGGAGCTGTTTAAATGTCAGTTTCGAATTTTTTAATCTCAGGGCAATTACACTCTGCCACAAGTTTAAATATATAATAATGTATTAGTCATTATAATGTACTTAATTGCGTTAAATCCACAAATTAGAAAGTTTGATTGAAGCAACAGAGTATATTTTCAACGCATTTGTCCATTATGAATACCAACGGAGTTTAATTATTTCCCGCATTACATATAATTCATTAAAATAATTGTTTACAGTACATAAAATTATAAATTAATATTGAAAGCTGACTTTCATTAGGACATTTCATCACACACCGCTTAAGCAAAACAAAAACTAACTCAAGAACTAGACACTCAAAATTTCAGCGTATAATTTGTTTCTCATTAAAATACCTAAAATTATAACTTCAGAAATTTGATTTAGGACTCGTTTTGTACGATCATTTAAAAATCTCACAGGGATTGTGAAAGTGTTCTGTAGCCGCAAATGGATAATAATGCTTAATTGCTATTTTAAACGAAATCAACAAACAGATATGTGAATTTGTAATAGAAACAGATGCTAAATATACATAATCGGTGATATTATAATGCCATGTGTGAATACCACAAACCCATCAATTTTGAATGTATACGCATTGTCGAAATACATTATGAGGAATAAAAATAAATTATATAGAGCGTTACTTTAACGTATAACCGCATTTGACACATGCCAAATATTAAAGTAAAATTAATAATTACTTTAGACTGGCATAGAATTAAAAACATTTATCTAATTAAAGGACAAATTCATAAAGTTTTTCCATGGACAGGCAAAAACGGCAAGAGCAAAAGTATTTTACACCCGGGAGGAGATAATTTATTAGGAAAATCTTTCTGTTAACAAAAAACTGTCGATATTACTTTTGATATTGATAAAGTTTTATTAAAATTTTTGCCGATCGAAGTTGCAATATTGCTAAAATTTACCGCTCATTGATAGTTTTGCCAGTCGCCAATGATTTATTTGTAAGAGAACAATTTCATAGGGAAAATAAAGCTACTTGATTTCAGAAAGTCTTATATATGTCTGTGTGAGAACACAGAATTCTCACAGTGAACACGGTGGCATTATCGATTTTTGAATCGTTATCGTGCCCTACAACGCGCGTCGCAGTGGATAAAAACTGGAAGGACTGGTTTTGTCTTTCTCTTTCTGCCTGCCGTCGTGTTAACGAGTGTGTGGGCCTTCGGGCCACACACAGCTCTCGCCATCGTCCACGGTAAAACATCATGTAATCGAGCTGATATTCCTTTGCATAAGATGGAGGAGAAAATATGTTCTTGTACTAAGAAAGCTGCATAAATGAGCAATAAGAACTTCCGGTAAACTTTACTGCTTATGCTGCGAAGGTAAAATGGTTCCTGTGCTGTGATTCTACGTGTATAATCCTGATAACTGGAATTTTTCGAAGTGAGACCATGTGCGACAAATTCAAGCACATCTACAAGAAATCTTCTCTCTTCTCTCGCGAATAATAGTGCACCGCCTAATAATTAAGCTTCTTGCAAGATGCTGATAAGTAGTGTGTCATCGATGCTTTAAGGATTTAGGAATTACAGTATACAGTTAAGAAATGAACGCTGGTGAGAGTCCCGTAGGACTAACGAGTAGGACATGCTGAAAAGCATTTATGAATGTTGTGTTTTTTTGTAACGTATATAATCTAGGCTAATCAAGAAAAGTGTGTTTTGTGATTTAATAAATGTATATTTGAAAGAGAGCTACTGACTCATCCATGCCTTATTGGGTAAGATAAGATAAGTTTGGGCTTCCCCGCTCCGAGAACTCAATCTCACTGCGGGTCCACTTTGGGCACATCGTGGAAGTTCAACCTCCACTATTACCCTCCAAGAGAGCGGCGCACCACCTGGATAAGACACCAGGCAGCACCGGTCGTCTAATGCTCCTACCAGTCGCTTGGGCGAGCCCGTCGCAGCGGGACATTACCCAGCGACCCCGGGGAAGACCCCCGGGTTACTAGAACCACGCCGCGCTAGGACGTGCCAGACTCCGAGGCCGGTCAATAAGTGACCTTTCCCAGAGCCTTCAGAACCACCAAGTTCATAAATTTTATACCCCCGTGGCCCTAGGAGGATAGGGCCATTATTATTAACCTAGGGCCATTATTATTAACTGCAACCTCCTAGAGCCATTATTATTAACTGCAACAAAAAATGGTCTCCGGCTATCGTAGCAATTGAACGCGATAATGTTGCAATCATTATAGAAGCACAAAAAGCATCTTTACTGTTTATCTCACAATACTCTCCTCCTTCTGCAGATATTTTGGCTACTACACAGTTTCTTACAGATACCCTGCAAAAGATTAAAATTCCTCTTAAAATAATTACAGGCGATTATAATGCCCACAACACGGTTTGGGGGTATGCTTCTACGAATGACAAAGGAAGCCTTCTGGAGGATTTTTCTGTCTGCTAATCATCTTGTTTTACATAACACAGCAGACGCTCCTCCGACATATGACAGAATCTACGCACAAGGCTGGCCTGATTTGACGGTCAGCTCAGCCTCAGCTGCGCCATTAATACAAAAATGGAGGGTTAATGATGAAATTAGCTTAAGCGACCATCGTTACATTACTTTCTCAATAGAGCAACCGACGACAATTAATATTATTCGTCGTTACAACCTACCTGGTAGGCGTAAACGTGCTTTTACTACTAGAGTCAAGAATTTGTTTGAAGGTATTGAACAACAGCTAACTCAAGCGAACTCTAGAGACGAATTGGAGAATTTCACAGTGACTCTACAAAAGTGTATACAGCAAGCGTGTGATGACATATTGCCACAGCGTAGTACTAAAAAACTGACTACGATCAATTGGTGGAGTAGTGAACTTCGTATTCAGCAGAGGCAATGTCGCGCATTACGTCGAAGGTTAAAGACTGAGCGTAGACTAAACCTTCCAGCTAAGACCCTCCCAATTTATCAACAGGCAAGAGCGAAGTACAAACGTTCAATTTTGCAGGCTAAAATCAATTCATGGCATGCTTTTTGTACAGAGTCACAAAACATCTATGGTATTCATCATAAGATTATGACTGGAAAGCTGTTTAGGCCTGCCCAGTTACACATCCCTACACGAATAAATGTTACTCAGGACTACACAAGGGAAACATTAATACAGATCCTGGATTCCGTCTTCAGTCAGGATGACCCAACCGAAGATTCTAAGCAACAAGCAACTATACGTACAGAACAGATGTCTACCAACGTGCCACCGGATAGGGATATTACATTGAAAGAACTAAAACATATATTAGCGCATTTGCCAAAGAAAAAGGCCCCTGGCCCTGATGGCATTGATTATGCAATCGTTAAAACAGTCGTTTTGGCCAAGCCAACAATCTTTGTTAGCTTTTTCAATAAATTACTAGCTACGGGTACATTCCCGAAATCGTTTAAAATCGGACAAGTGGTGTTGGTTTTGAAAAAAATCGCAATCCAGCGGAACCCACATCTTTCCGACCAATCTGTTTACTTCCGGCTCTTGGTAAACTGTTTGAAAAAACTCCTTATGACCAGACTACGCTATTATCTACACGTTAATAATATCCTCAGTCCCAGGCAATATGGATTTAGGCCAGGAACTTCCACTTTACACGCTTTGCATGATATCAAAGAGGCTATCATGGACAACAAATATCACGGTCTCCATACCATACAGCACTCATCAGCTTAGACCTGAAGAGTGCATTTGACAACTTATGGTGGCCAGCGATCTTGCAGGCTCTAAGAAGTTCTGGCTGCCCAAGCAATATCTTTAATACTATAAATCTTTATCTACAAGATCGAAGAATAATGATTATACATTCAGCGGGAATTATTGAAAAGTCACAGACGAGAGGATGCCCGCAGGGTTCCTGCGCAGGTCCTCAACTCTGGAATTTAACCTTCAATAAGCTACTCAATGCTTCCTGGCCTGCGCATACGAACATTTTTGCCTATGCCGATGACGCGGCCTTGGTTGTCAAGGGACATTCTCGTGAAGAATTGCAAAAGAACTGCAATGAGGCCTGTCAAATTTTCCAGCGAAATTGTGACGAACTGAAATTAGTCATAGCAGAAAATAAGTGTCAAATTTTACTGGTGCCTAAGAAGGGAGGCTCTTTGGCAAGGAGACCGCGTATTGTACTCAATGGTCAGAGGCTCAAAATTGTAAAAGAATTAAAATATCTTGGTGTTACCTTTGATGAAAAACTTACGTGGATTCCTCATGTTCTCTCTATTAAAAAGCGTACCCTGGCCATCGCCAAACAACTAAGACAATTTTATGGATACAAGTGGGTTTGAACCACCACATTCAAAAGATCTTATACACAACGGTTGTAGAAAAGTTAGTAACTTATGCAGCAGCAATTTGGGCTCTCCCTATGCAGAGGAGAAAAATCAAGCATCTCTCTACTATTCAGCGCCCTTTTGCCTTAGGCAATAACTCGGGCATATATTACTACTTCCACTGATGCAATAAATGTCTTGGCTGGTTTGCTCCCACTGCATATTAGAACTGAGGAGGAAGCAGCACGACAAATGTTAATACAGCTACACAAAGCCAATAGCATTTGCTGAAGAAAATTTTACTTCGGAGGAATATGAAACCAAACTAACATCTGACAGCATTCACCCTGCGGATTATGGTGTTGGCATTAGACTACATGTCCCGCCCTACAGAATACCGTAGCCCCTCGAGTATAGTAATTTATACGGATGGATCTAAAATTGAAGGAAATGTGGGGAGCGCATTTGCTGTCTTACAAGAAAATAGTGTCATTGCACAATGGAAGGGCCATTTGGCTAACAATAACAGTGTCTTTCAAGGGGAAGCAGTAGCAATAGCGCAAGCTATTCGCTACTTGCTAACCCACCAAATCCTAAAGGCTACTATAAAGTCTGATAGCCTTTCAGCTATTTATGCGATTAGTAATCCAGAACACCCATCCAAAATCATTAGAGATATTCAACAAGACCTTAGAAACATCAACGCCCATGACATCCACTTAGCTTGGATAAAGGCACATATGGGTGAATATGGAAACGAAGTTGCAGATACTCTCGCCAAGGAGGCCGCTTTTGGAATTGCTGCTGAAAATTCACATATCTTGGCCGCATTCACATTGAAATTTGAAATCTGCATTACGTCTCAAAGCAATCAGTAAGTGGCAAGAAGAATGGGGGATTATAGTACCACTGGTCGTCGTACTTATTACCATATTTCTTACGTTACACAAGATAGATGCTGTGGAAATCCCCATCTGACACATTATATTTCAGGGCATGGCACTTTTCCTCTTTATTTTGAGAGATTTTAAAATAAGCGATTCCAGCTTTTGCACCTGCGGAGAGTTAGGCTCTCCGGAGCATTACCTTGAAAAATGCCCTCTTACAGAAGGCTTACATATCAGATTCCCTTCGCAAAATCGTCAAGCCTTTTGCAAATTTCTAATCAAGCAGAGGCACTTGATTAATAAAAATTAACAAGGTTATGGAAAAGGTTAAAGGTCTTGGAATAGACCTGTGCCAGGTGTAGCATTCATAGGCATAATGCATTGATGCAAAGTACATAATCTTCGTGGTAAACTCTGGTTTAATGCTACATTTATAATTTTAGTGATATTCTTATAACGGACTGATCTAATGAAATGATCATTGTACTGTATCTTATGCACCCCCTATGAAAAACAATATGTTTACTTTTGCTTATTAGTTACCACAGTCTTAACGTACCCTTTCAAATAGTCACTCAGTACAAATTCTATCAAATTTTGTGTCTCTGAAATGTAAAAGTAAAATATTTCATAAGAAATTACTGTACCAGTGTAGTGTATTGTAGCAAATATGAGGGGTACACCATTATTGTTTTTTTGTTGTTCCAGAATGCTTACATTTGTATGAATGATACTTATGGCTGAATTTGTGAAGCACATTAAGTATGTACTTTTCAATGATCCTCACGACTTGATCCTGTATTTGTATGATCCTATATTCCACATTCTGCCTAATTCTGCCCTAATGTGTATGTGTATTATTTTGTATGGCATATTCTATGTATATATATATATATATATATACAGCGCATTATTTATTTACTTTATTTTTTATTTATTTATTTTTTTATTTTTTATTTATGTTTATTTGTATGAATGTTTTATGTATAATAATATAATAATATTTAATCATATAATTCATTGATACTTAGTATTTTGCATTTTAACTGTACACGCACCAGCATTATGTTTTAATAATCCTGTTTTGATTATATACTGTATCATGCATATGTAGGATATTGTATTTTTTTTTTAATTTTTTCTTTTTTTATTTTTTTTATTTTTTTTTTTTTAAGGTTTTTATGCATGAATAATATAATATTATTTAGTCATATAACTTTAAATCGATACTTAGTATTTACATCTTAACTTTTGCATTTTAACTGTATACGCACCAGCATTATGCTTTAATAATCCTGTTTGATTATATACTGTATCATGCATATGTAGGAAATTGTATGGTTTATTTATATTGTACGATATCGTAAGTACTGTAAAGTATGACCTGTAGTCCCACTAGTCTCTAGATAAGGGTGGACGTGGTGCTATTACCAATTAACCATAACGGTAAAGGGATGGTGCCCACGTGTTCCGTCACTAAACTAAACTAAACCCCCGTGGCCGAGACTGCCTAGGTACAGATCCTAGCCAGTAGCTTCGCAGAGTTCTCTACGTCGACCCCCGGGGAGCCTTATTGGGTAAGTCATTTTATTCTTATTATTACGTGGATTCCTCATGTTCAATTCATGGCATGCTTTTTGTACAGAGTCACAAAACATCTATGGTATTCATCATAAGATTATGACTGGAAAGCTGTTTAGGCCTGCCCAGTTACACATCCCTACACGAATAAATGTTACTCAGGACTACACAAGGGAAACATTAATACAGATCCTGGATTCCGTCTTCAGTCAGGATGACCCAACCGAAGATTCTAAGCAACAAGCAACTATACGCACAGAACAGATGTCTACCAACGTGCCACCGGATAGGGATATTACATTGAAAGAACTAAAACATATATTAGCGCATTTGCCAAAGAAAAAGGTACATAAAGATCATGCAATGTACTAACCACTAAATTTTAGTTTAACTATTTACGCGGAATTAATTCGTTTTCGAAACTCTTAGTATCGTAATTTTTATACGATCACAGCCAACAACACCACAGTTTGTAAGGATTTTAAGTTTTACTAACTTTTATTTTATTTTAAAACTTTGCTATCCTCTCTTATTTTCATTTCCGGCCAGAATAAACTTAAACAGATTTGGTTATGCAAATTCGGCTTGCAAGCTGTTAAGTATTTAAGTTGTGGCTTTTAAGCCAAGAAAGGGAGAGAGAGACTTCTCGCTACCTTACCTCTCGCGTGCTTTTCTATCAGCCCCTGTCTGCCTTTGAGGCCAAAACTAGTTCTGTTTGTACTTGAAGACGTACTGTCTGTCTGCGAGAAGAACAGCCCCGCCACAGTGTCTGGCGGGTGGCGGTCGCTATAGCAACAGTCTTAGTATATTTCAAATAGGAGCGAGCCAAGGGTTGCTTTATTGTTATTTTACTTTTGGTGACTGTTGGCTGAGGGGAAAAGAGTTATCATTCGTCTTCAAGACACCTCTACCGAAAATGGGTCAAGGCTCGTTTCTACGGCAACAGACAGTGGTAACTATGGGTTTCGGCTTCCCTGTTCCGAGTAACTGATTCTCACTACAGGTCGACTCTGCCTTCGGGCACGTCGTGGAGGTTCAACCTCCACTATTATCCTCCAGCAGAGCCGCGCACCACCTGGATACGTCACCAGGCAGCACCGGTCGTCAATTGCTCCTGCCAGTCGCTCGGGCGAGCCCGTCGCAGCGGGACATTACCCAGCGACTCCGGGGGAAAACCCCACGGGTTACTAGCACCACGCCGCGCTAGGACGTGCCAGACTCCGAGGCCGGCCAATAAGTGACCTTTCCCAGAGCCTTCAGAACCACCAAGTTCATAAATTTTATACCCCCGTGGCCGAGACTGCCTAGGTACAGATCCTAGCCAGTAGCTTCGCAGAGTTCTCTACGTCAGTGGAGACTACTCTACGTCAGTGTCAAACAGACAGTGGTAGACTAACTGGCGAGAGGTTTTCTTATGATAGACAGACTGTATTGTAGTTTCCCGCATTTTGCTCACTACATACGTAGAGTTTATGGCCAATCTACGCGTTACTAGTCTTTGTGAAGTATTGAGTTTAGTTCTTATTTTTTAAGTTTCAGACCATAAGTGCTGGTCTCTGTATCCCGAAGTGCGGGATCGGTTGTAAGCTGTTGGAAATAAAGGGTAATTTAACCCTACCTACTTTTGTGATATCTTCTACACACGCACGAACACAGTAAACTCCCTGCTCCTACTCAGGACTCCAGTTACGTTTGCAAAGGCAATTAGAAGGAATAGTAGTTCTGATACGTTTATTTACTGTACCTGTTTTTAAAAATTCTTTATCAAGATTTTAAGACAGTCAGATGCTTATAAAGCACAGCGAAATAATTATATCAGTAATGCCTTGTATTTTTCGTCATTATAACTCATAGCCCGGTCGTGGACACTAATCGACAACAACTCAGCTGAGGAGACACTTAGCTGACAGTTGTTAACCAAAAGACATATAGCTGACATGGAAACTTAGCCGGCATAATAGCCGACAGCAGGTTTAACCAACAACACATTTAGCCGACAACATGTTTAATTGACAACAGATACATTTTGTCAAAATCATGCGACAATCTTTTATCGATCCATATTTATCCGAGATAAAGGTCCATTTCCAGGGCACACAGTAAGAAGATTAATGAACAAGTAACACGTTTTTGTCTTTATTAAACGCTATATCCAGAATAGATTTTAAAATTAGACAGAAAATCTCCTTAGTTGGCGGATATTTTAAAATCAGTTTCTAGAACAATCAGGCTTAGCTCCCAAGTAATGAAAAGTGAAAAAGCTAATATTTTAGAGGAATTCGAAAGCGTTTGGAAGAGCTGGAGTAGAAAATTAATGGCATTAATTAAAAATTTAAATGTTTTATTAGTTTGAAAGGGTTTAAATAAATCCAATTTATTAACTAAGCAAGCTTTACGCATAATTTTTGCAAATCCAAAGTCGAAATTATGATTAAGTGTCCAACAGTCATTAGCCATAAAACTTTTGCTTATTTCTCTTTTTCGAACATACAATTTAAGTTTTATGACAAACCTTTCAACGCTCATTAGGTTTGGATGATAATATCAATGTGTGTACTCTGGCATGATAAACCAAAATTCCAGCAAGAATTAAAATCAGAGATGGAATCTTTAAGAATCGAGCAACAAAATTTAATGATAAGTGAAAAAGTGACTTTGAGTTTATGAAGAACTTTAGCAATTTTGAAGTTGATAGAAAAATTAAGTAAATGAATATTAACAAATTTTTATAATACACTGTTGCATATTTTTACCTAAATGCATGCGTTGCCATCTAAACTTGCTCTTGGCTAAACGTGTTGTCGGCTGGTTAAATGTCCGTGTCATGTTCTGCCGGCTAACTGCCTGTAACATTTAAATAGTCTACCCACATAGCACAAAAACATCCTTGGGATATCCCGAGGATGTTGATAGCGGGATATGCGCACATCCTCAGGACATCTCGGAATATCCCGCAAACCTCCTAAATACCTCCTCCCGAGTGCTTAATGTCACATCCCGGGATATCCTCAGGACATCTTAACTAAGTACCATCGACAGCGTGCGGGATGTTATTAGGATATGAACTCCTGCTTACTACATCCTCAGGACATCCCGGGATATCCCACTAACCTCCTAAACATATCCCATCATATCCTAAAAACATCCTATCTATCTCCCATCGAAAGCGTATGGGACGTTATTAGGATTTAACGTCCTACTTACTATATCCTCAGGTCATTCTGTAATATCCCAGTTTCCTCCTAAACTCATCCTCCTGTGTGTTTAATGTCACATCCCAGTATATCCTTAGGACATCCTATCTAGGTCCCACCGACAGCGTATGGAATGTTATCAGGATTTCAAATTTTTACTAGTTACAATATCACTTTAAATACATACTCTCCACTGCTTAATACCCAGTATATATA